CCATTTCATTTATAAATCCTTCCAGAGATTGTTTCATTTCTGTAATCTCCCTCCAGACTTCATCCCTTAGCTCTTGCATATTTCTCTGCAGCTCCATCAGCATGGTTATGAGCTTTATTTTTTATTCTTTTTCAGGAAGACTGGTTAGGTCTATCTCCTCAGGGTTTTCCTCTGTGATCTTGGTCTGTATCAATTTCTTCTGCCTTTTCATGGTGATAGATATATTTGTGGGGAGCTGGCACCTGTGTTGGGTAAGAGAAAGTCCCTTCTTGCCAGTTTATGGCCTTCCTCTCCTGGGAGAACAGCAGCCTCTAGTGGCTTGTGCTGGGCAGCTGCGTGCAGACGGGGCTTCTGATCTTGCCTGGCTGCTATGGAGTTTATTTAGCTCTGCAGTTGCTGTGGGCGTGGCCTGCCTCAGGCTGCTGCTCCAATATGGTGGAGCCGTGTCAGAGGAGGAACAGGCGGGAGGCTGTTTATCGCAGTGAAGGGCCTCCGAGCTGTGCTGAGGGGATTTGGGCCCCCAGAGTTGCCTGGGATTTCCAGCTGCTGGGCTAAGTGTCCCGGGACGGTTCCATCCAGCTGTGGGGTCCCTGTCCCTTTAAGACTTTCAAAAAGCACTCACTTTTCTTTATCCCGGGGGCACCGGCTGCGGGGACCTGCTCACAGGTCTTACTGTCCTGTTTCCCTAGTTTACAGCACCCCATGCTTGCACTGTGTGTCTGCACTCCGGTGCAGATGGCTAGGGCTGGCTATTTAGCAGTCCTGGGCTCCCTCTCCCTCCCTGCTCTGACTCCTCTCCTCCCGCCAGGAGCTGGGGGGAGGGGTGCTCAGGTCCCGTCAGGCTGCGGCTTGTATCTTACCCCCTTCGTGAGACACTGAGTTCTCATGGGATGTAGTCTGGCTATTCTCCTGTGTCTTCTGGTCTCTCTTTTAGGATTAGTTGTATTTGTTGTATTTCCAAAAATATATATGGTTTTGGGAGGAGATTTCTGCTGCTCTACTCATGCCACCATCTTGGTTCTCTCCACTCCTTGATTTCTTTTGCTTCATATGTTCACTGTATGGTCTTGAGGCTTCCTTCTAATTCTCAAGCCAAGTACAGTTATTTTAAAGGGCATGTTTGATAACTCCATCTCTGGACTTTCTTTGGGTTTATTGTTACACTCTCTTTGGTCTGTTTGTTTGAGGTATTGCTTTATATTGAGTGGCAAGCATTTTCCATGAAAAATTATACAAGTTAGTGGAGGCGCTGGATGATGCTATATTCACGATGACCTACTCTGCAGCTCATAGTGAAGTATGCAGTAAGGGTAGAAGCAGACCACCTCAATGCAGTCAGGAGCTAAGCAGATACGAAGCTGGACGTGAGGGTTTTTGACAGATGATCTATTTCTTCTTTACCCTCGTTCCTAGGGTTTATCTCTTTAGGGTCCTCACTAAAAGACCAGGGTGATCTCCAGGCTCCCCTCCAGCACCACCGGCCTATTTTTTTGCTCACTGGCCTTCCAAAGTTCTGCTCAAATCCTCTTCTTCACAGCAGCTTTTTAATTAGAAATGTTACTGGGAAGAGCAGTACCCACTGCTGGGCTCGCCATTCGGCCTCCCCCTCTCCCTGGGACCATTTCCCTCATGATACCTCTTCCTTGGTATACCTATGACATCTCCAAACACCGATGTTTAGTCCAGCTTTTCTATCTCTTCTCAGCTGGAGGATTAGTCTGAAGCAAACCAGTCTCCAAAGAGGGAATGGGTGGCCATATTTTGAAAGTACTTTGTAACATATGTTTTATGTCACTAACAATGTAAACAATGATTTGAAAAGCACTGTGGGTACCTAAAAATATTATCACACAAAATATAAATGAAAGTGAAAATCATCAAATCAATACTAACATTTCTTTGTATTTTTTTTTACAAAGCAGTACTGAAATTCTATTTTGAGCAACAATTCTTGGAGTAAATGACATAATGATATTGAGGCCATTGTTTCATTCCACTTAAGCTTTGTTTCTCATACAGCCTGCTACTATATTTCTAAGTTGTTTTTTGCATCTTTTCTTACAAAATACCTTTTCACTATTATTGTATACAGGTCAAGGCCAAGCCATTATCTTTGTAGAGTCCAGCAGAACATTGGAATGTTATGTAAGAGATGAGACAATTGACTGTGGGCAGTGCTCTGCAGGGTGCCAGCTTCCCTGGCCCATTGACCAGAGGCATCCCTTCAATAAATTTTAACGAACAAAAGCCTTCCCCAAGCTTCCAAAAATCTGCTAGGACTCAGAGTCACCTTTTACGGAAACCCTGCCTTCCACCTGTAAAAACCGTCCCTGCAGACAGTGCAGCCCAAGGTCTGTGCAGACCCCACGGTCATGCTTAGAGGCCAAAAGGTAGAATGTCAGGGACCAGTCCCACCGTGTATGCTGTTGCCTCCCATACCTGACCACTCCTAAAGCCGTTCTAAAATCCAGTGGAAACATGTCAGGGCTGATACCCAGGACAAAGGTAACCCAGACGACACACACCCCGACTTTCCTCTTGGGTCAGGAGGGCAGTGCTCCTGCACTGCCCGGATATGATACTCGGTAATGCTAACCTCCTGTACGGTCACCCGCCAGTTTCCAGGCATCGACCTGCTTTAATCCCCTTCTCCTAAAGCTCTCCACCACCTTCTAAAGAGGAGTTGCGATTCCCAATTCAGAGACCAGGAAACAGGGACTTAAACTTCAAGTGACAGCCCACCATCTGAAAACTATGAAGCACTGGTGTGATTCCTCGGCACTCTCACTGCTGCACTCCATCCAGGCTTCCAGCCATTTAAAGAGTGGCGCCCGCTTCAGAGTAGAAGGGGGCAACCGAGTACGAAGCGCTGGGGCAAAAAGAAAGTTGAGTGTAAGGGGGGCTTAATAACGGAGCTATCTAGGCTCCACGTGTCCCATGCCCCTGCTATGGGCGCAGCCACAGGCCCTCCCTGCAGGCGGCCGCGTTTTCCTAAGTCCGGGTCTAGGCAGTCCGTATCTCGGGGGTCTCTGAACCCCTGTGTCCCTCCCTCCTCAGCAACGCATTCCGCCGAACCAGCTTCCAAACCCTCTGCTCACCTCCCACTCCCGCGACCCCTACAGCGGCTAGTGCGGCAGGCGTCCAGCAGCCCCCGCCGCAGAGTGCACAGCGCACGGGCCACGGAGCTCGGGTTCTGGCTGTGAGTCCCCGGGAGTGCTCGTGCCTGCGCAGGCGCGGAACCAGCCGGCCGGCAGTGAGCTACAGCTGAGGTGCCGCGGCGCGTCTGGGTTCCCGTGGCAACGCAGTACACAGACGCTCGGAAGCTGCGCGCGCTCCATGTGCTTCCGCAAAGCTGGTAAGGGGACTGAGATAGAGGATTGGAGACTGGAGGAGAGGGGGATAATGGGGCTCTGGGAACGACGGGGATGGGGGGCAGGGAGACCCTCCAAGACGTTCGCTCTGGTTTTTGTTAGGAGCTTAGTGGTGCCTAGTCCTCTGCTTGCCTTCCCATACCCCAAAGTGCTGACTTAGACCTGGGGACCACCCCTCATGTGGAATTTCTCTTTCTTGAACTTTAGAGATGGAGCCTGTTAACATCCCTTTTGGGACATGTCAGCAGAGGAAGCTCTTTCCTCACTTCCATCCCCCAAACTTCTTGGGGAACAAGTTTCTCCCTCTTAGGGGAGTGCCCCACAGAGGGCCTGGATGCTACATAGCAGACGATGTGAGTATTCACCTTCCCCTCGTGGGGCTCAGTTCCGGACTTCCTAAGGTTGCCCTAGTTTGTGGAAGAAAAGCACTATGGGATTTGTGGTCTTTGAGGTCGCAACACAAAAAGGAGCCCTGGACCTCTGAAACCAGAAGTCAGGGCCAATGTCAGAAATTAAAGGACCTCTTCTCTGCTCTCTGCGTCTCCACCAAATGCAAGCTTTTGCTACATATAACCCTCAGTATAGTCCCCTCTCCACTGGCATCTCCAAAGGTCTGTGAAGCAATGTCACTTACCGTCTCATTATTCCCAGCTGGACTATGTTCTGTGGTGAGGTCAGGTTATCAAATAACATAATCACACTGGCAGTTACACTTGAGCACATTCAGCTCTGGGCCTCAGAGGACTGGGTTCACTGGAATGCATAGAAATGTCATTTACTCTACCTGGGCAGCTATGCTCCTTCGCTGACTTAGCTGTGCTATTTATGTAATTTTCTGGATGGCCTTGGTACAGAGGTATCAAAAAAGAAAAAGGAACTTTAGCAGAGATGGATAAGAACATTCTAAGTTAAGTCTCTTTTGATCACTGTAAGGTCCTTTATGTGTTCATGTGTTTGATTGATTTTTGTCTTTGTTTTGTCGTATACCACTGAAGAAGTATGGCTTGGCATACAATCTCTCTAAGATCCCCACCAGCAGAAGAGGATATGCTTTTGGAGCCAGAACAGCACTGAGGTTTACGCCAATCAACAAGGTTAACAGTGGCGGAATGTGCATAGGTTTTTGTGTGACCTGTCTTGCTGCATGTATTTGCATGGAGAGCAAAGGGCAGAGAGTGAGTGGTTACCTATAGAATATGTCCTGAAATTGAAGAAGAAGGGTATTTAGCAAACATTTTGGGGAAGCCTATCTGAAAACTTGGATGTTAGCATTGCAAATGTGTGTGAGTGTCCTGGGAGAGTGGAAACAATTCCTGGGAGAAGTGGTACCAAGGCAGGGCTTTGTGCTGAGACACCTGAGGTTAAAGTACTGGAAGCTCTATTTATATGCATCCTATTATCTTGTCAGTTAAAAATCAAATTTCAACTTTTCTACCCTTTGTGTGGTTGGATTTCAAGTGTGGAAGTCTTCGGAATAGGATCCTCATCTCTTGCTGGACACTTTCCTGACACGCTCAAGGAGTAGGCATACTGGCTCCAGCAATCTCTCTGATGGGATGGTAGGGGCCTAGCTTCAACAAGTTACCCTACTCCTCCCCCTGTCCAGCTCTGCTCCTACACACCAGGCGTTATGTATTCACATGCAGTGGAGCCAACCCTCATCTTGGTTTTCTCCCTACCTTAGGCCCCTTTCCATAGCTTGAGGTGGTTGAACCCTAACTGATAGATGAACAGGAAGAGGATGATTCTGTTTATCTGCTTAGAAAGCTTTGTGTGTGTACATCTATCTATCACCCTCTGACGTACTGATCTTTTTCTTGGAAACAGGATATGATGCCTTCCCCAGGCATGTACCAGACAGTAAATCCTCAGGATCAGAAACACAAACAAAATTTTGCTCCATTTAATGCCTCGTTGCCTCGATTTAGGACATACTCGAAGGACAGTTATCACCCTGGGTATGTCTCCTCTTTTCTTGCGCGTTTCAACAAAGAGCCATAGGGAAAGGAGCACAAAGAGGGGCTACACCCAAACCAGGCCAACTGACTAAGAATCACCCAGCTTTAATGATCCAACCTCTTACCTCCTAGAGCTCTGGCATTATACAACTATAAATCATGCTGATTCCTTCAAAAAATAATTATGAATGTGCCAGGCAGTTTTGTAGGTTCCTAGGTTCCAGAGATTGTGCATTAAGCCCATCACATAAGGCTCTTAATTTGTTGATGCCTACAGTCTATAATAGTCCAGACAGATGAGAAGCAAATAAACAAGAAAACATTGATAATAATAATGAGAGTAAACAATAATTTCTTAGTCAGACTGACACTCCTGAGAGCGAAAGAGGGCCTTATTCGTAAGTACACCAAGACAGTGGCCATAGCTATGACTGTCAGGAGTGAACCCAGCAGAATGGTGCCCTGGTGATGTGCTATGAAGAAAACAAACAGGATGATGATGTAATGGGGGGGGAGGGACTGAGGCTGTTTTAGCAAGTATTGTCCAACAAGGTGTTTCTGGGGAAATGACACTTGTCAGAAATGAGAATGACAAGACAGAGCCAGCCCTGTGAGCATCTGAGGCCAGAGCTTGCCAGGCAGGAGGAAAGGCAAGGGCAGACTTGGTGAGTTGGGAAGGAATTTGGTATGAGACTAAAAAAAGAAGGCTGGTGTGGTTAGTGTGCATTGAGCAAGGAAGAATGAGGACGGTGGAGGTGGGTGGGGCTGCACTCGCAGGCCCTGGAGACCAAGGGACAGGTTCTAAGTGCTTTAGGATGCCATTCAGAATCCATAGGCTTACCTAGAGGGCAAGGGTTGAGTTCTTTTTTGTACAGTGAGAAATCCAAGGCTCAGAGAGTGATCCTTTCTCAAGGTTGCAGTAAGGAAGTGAAAGGGCTGAATCTTGACCCCCATGTGCTCTTCTGTAAGTGTGACTTCCACCAAAGCAAAGAGTTTATACCAATGACAGAGTTATGAACAGAGGCAATTGTGGAATAACCCCCTTGTCAACAAAATTGAAGTGGTTCTGCTTTGCTGTCTTCTGTTGCTGACAGATTGAATTAACACTGTCCTTTTATCCCCAATTTCAAATTGTGCGCAGGGCTCATTCATCACAAAGGTAACTTTCTTTTGTCACCTACCACTTCTAGGATCTTTTGGTGTCTTAGTTCAATGATCCTGAGTTGCAGAAATATTTTTTAAGCTAGGGTGGATTTCTGCCCTAACTGGAGGACAAGACTAGATATCTGTAACATATAATTAGAAATACATTAACAGGCAAAGGAGCCCCACTCTTGCCTAACCTTAAAGAGCTAATCACTCTGTGCCCTTTGCATAGAGCAAGGCCTAGTTCAGGGACAGCTGAGGCACCAGTGGACTCCTTATAAGGTCACGGACTCATTACATACCATGGTTTGCATTTTTATTTCTAGCCCTGGCACATACAACCCAGAGACAAAGCTAGCGCAGAAGATCAGCTGGCCAATGAAATTTGGATCTCCGGACTGGGCTCAGGTTCCCTGTGTACAGAAAAGAACTCTAAAAGTTGAGGTACTCAGGCTGGTTGAGTAGATCTCTCTGTGTGGTGCTTCATATGTGTGCTGGGTTCTTACCCAGGAGTCTTCCTGGATTTTAAGCAGGAAGTCCTCATTCCCTGGAAATTATGCACACTATGTTGTGTGAACACGCAGAACGGAATTTGTTCAAGAATTACCTAACTTCATTAGATTTTTAAATGTGTATATGGCTGAACACAAGTCACATTTTCTTATATAATCCTAAAATAGTGTTACGTGGTAGGCACAAGGGAATTATCTCTATGTGATGGAGGAAACTGGGGCTCAGATGAAAAGTGACTTGTGCAAGTTGCACAGCTTGACTCTAGGTCTTGTGACTCCTAAACCAGGGGTCTTTTGATCACACCACCTGAGTGTTAGATCATCAGGTGACTGTAGAGCATTCTGGTAAGACCGTGGATTCTGGGGAAGACTACCTGGCTTTAATTGCTGGCTGATCATGGGCAAAAATTCCCTAATTTGCCAAATTTCAAGTTTCCTTATCTTAAAATCAGTATGATAATAGAATCAACTTGATTAGGTTGTAATGTAGAATCAAGATAATATAGAAAAGCATTTAATGTAGAACCTAAAACATAATAAACAGTCTGTTTTAGCCAGCAATTTCCAGAGGCACCTTTCTTTCCCTAATAGAATTTGGAGTAATTCTCTTAAGTATTTCTAATTGCCTAATGCACTAACATCATTGTGCCAGGGCCTATGGGTAACATTCAAGAATGAAACACTAATCCCTAAACTTTGTTTTCAAGACGTTTACCAGCTATACTTGGAAAGGTACCAAATAAAAAATAATTCCTAGCAAGATATGCACTAGAGTAAGTTGACCAAGAGTATATGTACACACAAATGTATGAGATTCACTAAGACTAGATTACTATGGAGTTGGGGTTTAACTGGGCTACAACACTCGTAATATGCAGCTCTATTTGGCACAGCCAAAAAAGACCGAAGGAGAGGGCTTGATTAGAATATTGATCTAGACAATATTCTTTCATTGCAGCTGTCCACTGACAAAGAATTTAGAAAGCATCGGAACCGTGTGGCCTACCTACACCTGTTCTACAATTGAGAAACTGGGAGTACCTTCCTGAGCAACTCCTGACCACAGCCTCTCCAGGATTGAGGACAGAGCTGCTCTCCTCCCTCTGCATCACTGTGGTTCTCCAGTCTGCCAGCATGGGGCCCAGGGAGGGAGAAGGGGCTCCTAATGGCTACATGAGAGCATAAACGGTATGAGAGTATTCTGTCTCCATGTGCTGGTCTGTAGTACGCACGCACAGATGGGTCTGGTGGCCTGTTGAGTATTCCGTTGGGTGGCTTTCTTTAGTGGAAATACAGGTCCCTACCCTCTAGCTTAATTCCCAGGCACCAGTTTTAGTTGTCTGCCACTAGTCCTGGTAATAGGAAGGTGTTGGTCTGTGCATAACAAGGATTGGGATAGCTTGCTGGATATGGGGGATACTTAAACATAGAGTAAAATGTTTATTATTTAGGAGATCTTCCAAGCTTCTGAGTTTCCTCATGTGGAGTGGGAAGGTCCTGACTTGGTTGCCTTTCCCAGATAGTTGTAAACCTCACAGAACCAAAAATTTCCTCTTTCCTATGTCCATTTAGTGTGTCAGTCATCATATATGTTGAGTTCCTCCCATGTGTTAGGCAGAAGACAAGCACTGGGACTAGAACTGAATCAAACATCTGCTGGCTCCTTGATCCTGACCTGACGGAGGAGGAGGACTCCTCAGAGTGGTTCACATTCCTTTAACCTCACACTCCTATGCCTTTGCTCATGGAGTTCCCTTCTCTTACATTGTCCTTCCCATTCTTTCATGTTACTTTCTATCACCCTTTTCTTCATCTTCAAACTATCTCGAGCCTCATTCTCCTGAAACTGACCTTAGTCAAACTCCTAATAGAAAGAAGAGTTCTTACATATGGATGCCAAAGTTCCACCCACCAACCACCAGGAGTGTAATCAGGTTTCCATTACTAATGGAGAACCACAGAGAAATGGCAGAATGAAGTCCGATTTAGCCAAGCATGAGGAAACTGCTTCCTTGCATTAAAGTCACCTTGTCTCAGACCCACAGTTCTGGCATCAAAGAAAAGAACCTTGTCCTCAGCAACTCGGCTCTTGGGATCCTTTTCCAGCCTCTCCAAGAATGATCTTCATGTTAATCATTCATATTGGAGCATCCACACTTGAGTTCTCAGGACAACAAGCTACCCTAGCCTTCCTGGAGGGTAAGAGGCCAGACCAAGTTGAAGAGAGCCCTTCCATTACACTACAACCACATGTGTGTGTGTAATCTTGTAATCAACTTCAAACCTCACTCCCTGACTGGAAACACTGTCATGGGGGAAATAGTAAACATTTTCTGAAAGATACCCATGAGACTGAAGGTTGTCTCAGCACCACCATCGACACCCAAATTTGTCAATTGCGTCACCTATTTGAAAACAGGAAACAGAGGTTCTTCCAAATGGGGTTGGCTCTTCTCATCCTGATCTCAGTAAGAAGATAATTCACCTAGAATGTTCCTTATGTGATGCTAATACCGGTCAATCTCTGAATCTACTTTCCCTTTAAGTCCCCTGGCAATTCTGGACTTTCCATTGCTTACTGCCCTCAGCTAAGTAGCTTCACAGGGACACAGACCAGAGCACTAGAAGAGCTTCTAATTTAGAAGTTAGGGTAGAGAAAGGGAAATAGAGGATTAAAGCAATAATGCCAATTATCCTGACAGATAAATTTACTGCTGAGGAAAAGGAAGTCATTTTGATTTTTCAAGGTGGCTTGTCATTTTCATTCCACTCTCCTCTAGAGCCACCCTTACCATATTGTGAACTTTAGCCTTGAGTGGGGAGGTGGTCCCCAATACTAACTTTGAGATTCAAGTCCACTCAGAGTGTTTGTTCTGGGACTTTTCCAGATATTCCAAAGCTGGGCTCTCAAGCTCTTGGAACCGGGGTAAAGGACATTATCATTGCATGTGTGGGGAGTGATCCTGTTATTGCCATAGTGGTGAAGGCCTAGGGCATGTTTCCACACTGGCATATGTTTGCATTCTCAGGCATGTAATCAGTGGGGTCTGGGCAGTACTAAAACCAGCTGGCTTTGTGACAGGATGGAAAGAGGAGGGGTTAGGAGTTGGAAGGCTTGACATCTGCTATCTCAGTGTCTTGGGGTCGCTCCCACATGGGCTCCTGTGGGAGAAGCAGCAGAAATACTCTGGGGATTTGAGTTCTGCCTATGGTTTTAGGGCTGAGGGGTGAAGAAGGCATAAGATGGTCTCAGATTGGTGAGGTAAAACTACAAAATAATCTCTGCTCAGGGACCTAGGGATGGAGTGAGAGCAAAAGAGTGGCATCATTTCCCCTGAAGATTTCTAATTTCTAATGACTAATCCTCTAAAGTAACACATTCTACTGCTATCTTAACTCCATACCAACAAGGGTTGTCCTGATCCTAAGCAGTCCTCATTCCTATCTCTTGCTGAAAGGAATGTGGAGACAGAACAATAGGATGTGAAGTAGAGGAAGTGTGCTCTCTCTCTGTTCGTTTCTTTCTTTCTTTTTTTTTTTTGGCTAACAAGTTTGAATGTCCCACAAGGGGCAGAAAATCCAGCTCTCTCAGATTTTCAGATATTTAGGTCTGCTGATGATGGTGGAAACTCATGATGGTTTCCAAGTTGCAGCTGTAGCATCACAGCAGAACCGTAAAAAGACCAGCAGCAAATCCACAACTCAGCTTGTGGCTTCCCCGGGGAACTACAGGCTGGTTACTCTGCTGGGTAACTATCATTGACAGTCAATTCCCATTGAGTCTGGCACACGTTTCCTCTCCCTCCACAGCTTGTACCTAAACCAGCCCTGAAGCAGAGGAGGTCCTGGCACTGGGTTCTCTACCACCCAGCAAAGGACGACTGAACCTAGAAAAAGCTTGGCTTGGAGCAGATATTATTACACTTAAAGCCTGGCATTTCTACTTCCAGCTGCAGGATGCTGGATCTCTTGTTAAGTGTCTTCTGACCTCTATTTGCATACTGACAAAAATGGGGAGAGTTGTAAGGATTAGATGAGATGGCTTAAGCAACAGTACCTAACATACAATCAGAACCAAATAAATGCACATTAATTGAACCATTGACCCATCTACCTGGAGAAATGAGCAAGGCTCCAAATAGCAGGCTTCTCCCTGTTTATTGGTTACCTTAAGTGAAGAGCCAGCTTACCTACTGTTGTCTGAACTCAACTGGATACCAGTGAGGGCAGAAGCTGAACAGTGCCATGTACTGGCTGAGGCCCAAATGCCCCAGAGACTATGTAGCTCATACCTGTGGCTTTCAGCAGCATCTGACTGCTCATGAACCACAGACTTCCAAGGCTCTCAGGACTGGGGCCGGGCAGGTCATGGATCTGAGCACTGAGGGCAGCATTAGTTCTTCCTCTGCAGGTGCTGCATTGGAAGATTCAGGTGGGGGGAGAGGTGATGAATGAAGGACAGGAGGGGTTAGGAGGAAAAATGATTCCATTAAGTAGAATATCACAGAGACAGAGGCAGCAGGGTTCAGGCTGGAAGCTCCAGAAGCAGGGCCCAGCTTAGATGTGTTTGGAGAATGCCTGACTTCCTGGAACACACCCTCTAAGCCTTTGAAATGCATGCCTTTGTGGATTTAGCACTATCTCTGCATGCACAGAGAGCTTCACTTCTTCATTCTGAAACCTCAGCATGTGCAAGAGAGAGAGAAAGCCAACAGCCTGACAAAGCCAGGTCCTGATGGGATAGAACATGCCAGTCAATGAAATGATGCAGGAAAATGCAGACCTACACCCACCACCACCCGCACACAACCGGATTGGGAATGCTTTGCGTATTCTTTCCAGATACGTTTTTCCAATGACATTGTTTGAAAGAGATTTGAGGTCCCAGCGGCGCCAGTTTGTAATTCCCTGGAGGCAGCCTTTCTGCATTGGAAGAACGCACTCCTCCTGATTGATAACTGCCTGTGTAATGCAAATTCAGCTACTGGACTTAGTTCAAACAGGGAAAAACTCAACCAATATGTCTGCTGGTTTGAAAATGGCCAAAGCCATGCCTTATTGATAGTGGCAGGCTTGGGTGGATTGCATGCATATGACTTTATTATATAGCAGTACAGTAAAAAATATATATATTACATTGATCTGGATCATATTTAATGCTACCTGCATGATCCCTCCACCATGGCTCAACTCCCTCCACTGGAAAATAACATTATTATTTTCTTTTATTACTTGTTATTTATTGAAAAATTTTTCATGCAGTATAGTTCATGTGCAATATTATATTGATTTCAAATAAATAATACTGATTTGATAGTTATATACATTATTAAATGCTTAAACCAATTAGTGTAGTTAGTATCTGTCAATGTAGAAAGATGTTATAGAACTATTAACTATATTCTTAATGCTGTACATTCATCTCCACGACTGATGTATATCATGACTGACATTTTGTGACTCTTTATCCCCTTCACCTATTTCACCCATCCCAGCCAACTCCTCCCCGATGGTTACCACCAGGCACTTCTCAGTGTGTATGAGTCTACTGCTATTTTGTTTGTTCTGTGGTGTTGTTTTTAGATTTCACATATGTGTGATCATATAGTATTTGTCTTTCCCCATATTCCTTATTTCAGTGAGCATAATACCCTTTAAGTCCATCCATGTTATTACAAATGGTAGCATTTCTTTCTTTTTTATGGCTGAATAATAATCAATTCTATGTATGTAGCACATCTTCTTTAACCATTTACCTATTGATAGATACTTTGGTTACTCCCATATATTGGCTATTGTATATAATGTGGCAATAAACATAAGGATGCATATATCATTCCACTTTTTTGAAAATATTTTGTCTTTTGGGGGGTGAATTCCTAGGAGTGGTGTTACTGTGTTGTATGGTATTTGCATTTTTAGCTTTTGAGGAGCCTCCATACTGCTTTCCACATTGGCTGCACCAACTTACATTCCCACCAACAGTATAGGAGGATTCCTTTTTCTCCACATCCTCACCAACACTTGTTATTTCTTGTCTTTTGGATAGTGGCCATTCTGACTGGTGTTAGGTGATGTCCTATGTGGTTCTGATTTGCATTTCCCTGATTATTAACAAGCAATGTGGAGCATCTTTTCATATGCCTGTTGACCATCTGTATGTCTTCTTTAGAAAAATGTCTGCTCAGTTCCTCTGCCCATTTTTTAGTTGGGTTATTTGTTTTTTTGTTGTTGAGTTGTATGAAATCTTATATATTTTGTATGATAACCCCTTATTGGATATATAATTTTCAAATATATTCTCCCACTCTGTAGGTTGCCATTTTGTTTTGTTGATGATTTCCTTTACTGTTAAGAAACTTCTTAGATTGTTGTAGTCCCAGTTGTGTAATATTGTGTTTGTTTCCCTTGTTTGGGGAGACGTGTCCAAAAAAAAATTACTCATGGTTATGTTCAAGAGATTTTGCCCATGTTTTCTTGTAAGAGTTTTATATTTCATATCTCATGTTTAGATTATTTCGAGTTTACTTTTGTGTATGGTGTTAGGGAGTAGTCTAGTTTCATTTTCTTGCATGTAGCTCTCCAGTTTTCCCAACATCATTTATTTAAGAGACTATCTTTTCCAAATTGCATATTCATGGCTTGTTTATCATATATTAATTGACCACACATCTGCGGGTTTATTTCTGGGCTCTTTGTTCTGTTTCATTGATCTATGGGTCTCTCCTTGAGCCAGTACCATACTGTTTTTATTACTGTAGCTTTGTAGTATAGCTTGAAGTCAGGGAGCATGATACCCCCACCTTTAACACTGGCACTTTAAACTCAAATACTTTCAGGCCTACACAGGTAAGTGCAAATGTGGAACACCATAACAGTATGAGTAGGCAGTAATGGGGACTGTGAAAATGCCAGATAATATTCACATTGATTAAAACTGTGCTGCTCCCTTCCAATAAAACCTGTTTTCTGATCAGGTTTGCCTTCAGAACTCCTGTTTACAATGCTTGCTAAGGTATCTTTTTCTGCTCTCACATTCTTGAGTCAGCAGTTACTCTGATTCATGTTCCTTTCCAAAAATGGAGAAAAAAATATTGGAGGAGAGAATGCTAAGGTTGGAGCGATGATATCCTCCAGCCAGAGCCCCTCATGTAGGTACCTCTGCATCCTTACTACATGGCCCAGTTCTTACCCAGAAACTCCCCTCTTGGGTGCTCCTACATAGATCATTTAGCACACCTCTTCTACCAACAGTGAAGTTTCAATTTAGAATTAACCTAAAAGCAGAACACATACACACTACACAGCAAGGGATGAGGATGGAGGTGAATTAGGGCTGACTGGCTCCTCCCTTCCTTTGACAACAAGAACCTATTTCTCCAAAAAAGATACACAAAATGAAGGAAAATAGGAATGGTTCGAGTGCAGACACTACTCAATTCAAAAAGATCAACTCCATTATGTTGGCAGAGGGGACCAATGAAATGATGCAGGAAAATGCAGACCTACACCCACCACCACCCGCACACAACCGGATTGGGAATGCTTTGCGTATTCTTTCCAGATACGTTTTTCTAATGACATTGTTTGAAAGAGATTTGAGGTCCCAGCGGCGCCAGTTTGTAATTCCCTGGAGGCAGCATTTCTGCATTGGAAGAACGCACTCCTCCTGATTGATAACTGCCTGTGTAATGGAAATTCAGCTACTGGACTTACTTCAAACAGGGAAAAACTCAACCAATATGTCTGCTGTTTTGAAAATGGCCAAAGCCATGCCTTATTGATAGTGGCAGGCTTGGGTGGATTGCATGCATACGACTTTATTATATAACAGTAAGTAAAAATATATATATATTACATTGATCTGGATCATATTTAATGCTACCTGCATGATCCCTGCACCATGCCTCAGCTCCTTTCACTGGAAAATAACACTGGGATTTTAAACTCAAATGCTTTCAGGCCCTAACAGGTAAGTGCATATGGGAAGCAGCATGATGGTACAAGTAAGGAGTCATGGGGACTATGAAAATGCGAGATAACATTCATATTCTTAAAACTGTGCTGCTCAGCTACACACAAACACACATAACACAAACACACACACAAAACTGTTTTCTGATCATGTTTGCTTTGAGAACACACATTTGAAATGCTCACTAAGGTTTTTTTTTTCCTTGTCTAATATTCTTCAGTGAGCAGTTGTTCTGGTTCATGTTCTTTTCTAAGAATGGAGAGAAAAAACAGAGGAAAGCATGCTGGGAGCATGATAACATCCAGCCAGAACTTCTCATGCATTCCACTGCATCCCTAACATCTGCCCCAGTTTCTGCTCAGAGACCTCCCCAACTGCGGGCTCTCCCAGGGACCACTGAGTACACCCCTCCTGGCTGCTGTGAAGATTGAATTTAGAATGAACTGCTAGAAGCAGAAAACAACAAAAGACATTTGGATCACCAGAAACATTCAGAATTTCCTGTTTATTAGTTGCAGGGGGTAAGAGTCTAGTGATCAGAAAGGGTCAAGACAGTTGAAAATGCTGCTGTTGGCACACACAAACATCAGGGCAACCTCAGAGGCCTCCAGGGACGGTGGAGACAGCTGCCTCTCGCCAGTCTATGCAGAGTAGGCAAAGCCCACCCTGTTGTTGGCCATGTCATACACACTGTAATATTCCCTGAGGAAGACATCTCCCAGAATCCACAGGGGCTGCCCAGTGGGGGAAGGCAGATATGTGGCCTCAATCCCGAGTGTGCAGTAGCCATTTTTCTGAAGAGACAAAGGATGTGAGAAAATAACCAGCTGCACAGTAGAGACACTTCCCCTTAGGCACTCCCCCAGCTAACAGTCCATGACCTGTGGGGACGGAATTCTTCTTCACCCTCAGCGCTGCCCGTGGTGATTCCCCACAGGCACTCAGATGTGAGCTGCGACAGGGACAGTGTTAGGGCCCGTCCAACTATATCAACAGGGAGTAATTACATACGTTTATGACGTAGGCAGAGGGAGGCAGAGGGAGCTGGGATCCGCTGATAATGAAGGTGATGGTGGGCAAGCTCTGCACATAGTTGCAGTTGACTACATACTGTGAGAGAAGAGAGGCAGAGATGCAGAGCACCAGGGGCTGGAAGCCCAGACAAGGGCCCAAGCCCTGTGAGACTCTTCGTGACCTTCCAACAGAGGCAGTCCAGGGCATGCAAAGCAAGGCGTGATCCCCAGGAACAGAGTGATGAAGCGTGCTGGCTTCTTGAGTCCTCTCCTTAAAAACACCTCAGCCCTTAGGCATGGCTTGTGTTATAATAGCCATAGGAAGTTAGGCCAATTCCAAATCAATATCTAACCTCAGAAAACAGAAATCACAGAGAAAGAACATGTGCACACATTGAAGAAGCTGCTCTCACACACTCTCACAGCCACACTGGTGTGCACCTGTCCCTGGGATGCTCACACACACCCACTGAGGAATCAAAATGCAGTCTGGGCCCTGACCCCTTCTGCAGGGAGAAGCAAACCAGAGATATGTGTACAAAGGGAGTGGGTGTGGGCCAGCCAGCTGCTCAGGAGAACACCCAAAGGTGAATTCCTAGGGAAGAAAGAATCCCAAGTGGAATGGAGAAATGCAGCGTGTCCTGACTCTATTGCAATAGGACAGTGGCCAGACCAAGGTGAAATGGGCTCCTGGAGTCTGCAGTGGATTAGCAGCACCGGCCATAGCCATGGAGGGATGGAATTCTTCCAATGCACAGTACACTTGTCCCAGACATGCCAAGCTCTTACCTCACACTCGCAGTCTGGACGGAGCTGGTAATACTCCCTTCCCTTATCCTTCCTTGCATTGAGGGCTCTGCCTGAAATGCCATACTGTATTCCCACCTTATGTGTCCTGCCAGGGGCTCAGGTCCCCACCCAACCCCTCACCCTCTGTCTTCTGAAATAATTGCACTCAGGCTTCTGGGCAGAGCCTGCCTGGAAGTGCAGAGAAGCCCTTGGCTCCTGGTTACTCACATCACCGTTCTGAGCCTGCTGGGCTCCTGTGGCCTCCAAGAAGGAGCTCATGTACTGCTGGGGAACAGCCAGTGGGAAGGTTCCCGTATCCACAATGGCCTGGCAGCCCTGGGAGCACAAACCGGTGGCCTGGTTACCAACAGCAAACCTGAGGGGCACCAGTACAAAGAGAGTCAGGCATCCCTGTTGCAACCAGGAGCCATGTCCACCCCAATCCCCACAACCCAGCATCTCCAACTTCCTGCCTTTTCCAGGAAACCAGGCCACCCCACGACCCGGCCCCTCATGGAACGCTCCTGTGCATTTGTGATTGTTGGAGCCACATCCTCAGTCTTGGTCTGGTAACCCCTGCAGCTCTGACCAAAAGCTTCTGGGCTCTTTGGAGCCCAGCACCCAGTAGGGCTCGTAATTATTAACAATGCTCTTTGACCACCCACTTGGCAAGACACTCTTACAGGGATTATGGAGATATAAGGTGGGGGTAAACTTATACTTACTGTTTGGGAGCATGTTCTAATAAAGGTGAGACAATACAATACATTAAGCCCTGACTAACCCCCATAAGGCAGTAGCTGATAAACTCCATGTGACTCAGTCCCTGATTCCTTGTTCAGCCTTTTCTGCTGCTCTACCTTTCCTCTTCATTCCCCACATATTTGGGCACTGTCCAGGAGCCGAGGCATGTGGAGATACAATAGTGAACAAGACAGACACCACAGTCTGGAGGAAGGGCAAGACATGTAACAAAAACATGCAAATCATATTGCCATGAGATGTGCTCTGAAGGAAATGCAACGTGCCAGGAATGGGGGGCTCGATCTAGTCTGGGGGGTCAGACAAGGATTTTTCTGAGAAGCGATGCTTATAGAGCGAGTGACATTGGTCCATGTGAAAAAGACACCTCCATTCCAAGCACAGTACACTTGTCCCAAACATGCCAAGCTCTTATCTCTCTCTATATATGCTTGCACATTGGGCTGTTTCCCCAGTGCCTTTCCCAGTAATCAGGAAACATGCATACATGTCTATATAGTGACATATGTATAGTGATATATATATAGTGACAGGAGCAGGTAAATACAATTGGATTAAGAAAGGGATCATGTGGACTGCGCTCTCTAAGAGGACTTTTTGAAGGTGGCAGGAATTAAACTGGGCTCTGAATGACGCCTACAATTCAAATAAGCACAGACGAGAGGAGGCACATTTCCAGTGATAACAAAAGAAAAGAATGCAAAAAGGAAACAAGATGCAGTGACTGGATGAAGCTCATGTCCCAGACCAGGAAGTGGTGGGAAGGCATATTGAAAGACAGAGCCTAGCTTTTATGTGGTCCTGAGTATAGGCCAAAGTGTTTTGTCTTTAGTTTGCGTATGATGGAGAATCCTTCAAGACTTTTAAGTAGGAGTAACTGATTCATTACAATGAGCTCTGGGATCAGATAACACTGAACTCAAAATTTAAACTTGTGAAATGTATGATTTTGAAAAAGTTTTTCATGTTCTGCACCTTGCCCTCTTTATCTATAGAATGAAATATACTGCTGACCTCCTTATAGTGTTGTTATGCAAATTATATGCAACAATACTTTAGTATCTGGCATATAGAAAGTACCAATGGCAGCTGTCACTTTTACTGATGATAGAAGTGGTAAAGACTGTGTGATCAGGATAATGAAGCTCCCAAGAACAAAGACTTGGATTCACAGTGCCTGGAATGAGCAACCTGCTGGCATGACAAGTCTCAGTGACCAGCTCAAGTAGATGAGTCTAGAGCTAGGGGTCACAGGCTACCAAGCTTCAGGACAATCTCAGCCTGAGGGCTTGGTGAGTTTTAAGAAATCTGTGCCATGATAGGAACAGGAAATGTCATGCTCGAGGAACACCCAGCAGTGTCCTTAATCCATAGGAACTGTCCTCTACTTACTCCTCAATGGGAATCTGCCAGTACATTTCCCGGGTGACAGGAGCCCAGACAATCTGTCCAGAGTAGAGATTGGTGTCCACGCCTCCCAGGATGAGCTCTCCACCATACTGATAGGTTGGTTGGCTGAGGAGTAATGGAGAAGAGCATGAATTCCCACATCACAAATGCATCAGGCAGTTCCTGTCTCTCCCGCCACCTAACCTGGCCCCCTCAGACACAGAAGGGCCACAGAAATAAGGACTGCTCTCCTCCAAGCTGCTCTTCAGACTCCCATCTGGCTCACGGCATGTGGGAGAATAGTCTTGTCAGAGAGACACCCAAAGTATCAGAGAAATGGAAACACAGACTATGCCCAGAAAGGAAGGGACAGAATGGTCACCCAGGCATCCAGGAACAAGGTATGAAAGTATCTCAAATAAACCCCCAGACAAAGGGAGAATAAGAAGAGACCCCTCTGGGATACCTGGATTGGACCTGACAGAGATCTCAAGTGTGTTATGATGGAGATGCCCCTGTCGTGTCAGGTTGGTAACTAGACAGTGTTACAAGGATTCAGGCCTCTTGTGTTCACCACCCTGAGCCTGCCACTCACAGATGAAAGACATTCGCATTTCAGGTACCCTGAGAATCAGGCATTAAGAAAATAAGGATCAGAGAGCAAAGGCTGCCCTGTAGTCCAAGGCTGGGTGGCATAGGAAAAGTATTGGGTCAAGATACCTGAGTTTGAGTATTAGCTTCACACCTACCAGTGAGTGACTTTACTCAGCACTGACAATCTGTTTCAGCCTCCATTTCCTCCCTGGAGAAATGGGGCTAATAAAGGATTTGGGAGGCATCATTTGAAGTAATTGCTCCAAGAATACTTCATGAAGCCAGAGGTGTTATTGCCATTAATGTTTCATCATGATTCTCTTTACTATGTATTATAGCTCTACAGCTGTGCTAATCTAATGGAGCATTCTCCAGATTTACTAAAGAAATGTGAGGGATAACTGCTCATTTTTAAGAGTCATCATATGGCTTAGGGCCATAGTTAAATATCTTACAGTGCATTTAAAATAAAATTTTCCTATAAAATGTCATTACATATTTTCAGTAAAACAAGGATTGCTTATAGGAAGTAATAGTCATTATGACAAGAAACTTTATGACCTGGGCCCTTTCCGATGTTGAGATGTTCAAAGTCCTCTCAGAGTCTTGTTTGTTCAGTCCTTTCTTGGACAAATATTCTTACCGAGAAAAGTAGAAGCTGAAGATGGGTTGGGTGAGCTGGCCCTGCTGCAGCAGGCTCTGCATCACCGTTGGGTCATTCCCCACAGCCAGACTGGGGTAGGCCATTCCCAGGATTCCATCAAAGTCTGAGTAGTAGAAGGGGTTACTGGGTTCATCCTCACTGAGGCCAAACTCCTGGTTTTGGATGATGATGTTCTGGACCTGAGTTGAACAGAGAGAAAGGCTAACGTTTCAGGTGGACAAAATCTCCACAGATTTGGGTGTCCAGGGTCTGGACTCTGGAACTCTCCTGGGGTCAGAAAGCTGGCTTCTCCCATGTGAGCTCCATCATGGGAGTGGGCGTGGAGAGTGAGAGTGTAGCAGCACCACCAACCATGTGTGTCTTGGAAAAGAGAGTGTGGATATTGGGGGAAAGCAGAAGCAGTGCTTTCTTGAAGTGAGAGTTATCATTTCCAGGGACAGGGAAAGGACAGAAGTGATTTGATATTGAAAATTCACATGCAAACATGGTTCAGGTATTGTGGGTATTTGACTAAAGAAGGAAGTTACTAGTGAAAGGGCAGGTCTTCAAGTATCCAAAGTGAAATTGTGGGGAGGAGGTAGCAGATTTTTCCTATGTGGTGGCACAGGGCAGAGTTAATACAGTGAGAAAAATCACAAGACACAACAATTTTACAAAGTAAAGGGCTTTCTGCCATCAGAACAGCTGTGGAAGCAATTCTTTACTTGGGAAGGTTGAATTTGATGGCCCTTGGAATTCTTTCCAATTCTCAGCTGCTGGGAACATTGTGCCTTATTAGTAATCATGGATTTCTCTTGACACCTTCAGACTCTAGAAAATGAGAGCCAAGCCACCACAGTCAGAGGCTAGAAGCACATCACTCACCGTCACAGTGTCATATCCCAGGAACACGGTCAGACTGCCACTCCCATAGTACAGTGTGTAGGTTTGCCCATTGTTTCTGAAGGTGGAGGACTGGCTGGGGTTGAACCTGTTGTGATCCGCTGCAGCACATGGAATGGAATATACTGTCATTCACTGCTTTCCAAATACTTGAAGACAATTTATGCTCCATGCTCTGGAATTATCAGACCAAAGCTGGGATCAAGCCATGGCCTCAGGTCCTTTGTGCTATACAGAAACTGTGTTAGCCCCAGTAAAATCTGTCACCTCACATAACACATGTTGTCCATATTCATTCCTACCTACCAATCCCTGAGGGAAGGATCACCTCAAAAGTGCAAGGAAGTCCATGTGATGTGACTGATCCTATAGGAGCCCACAGGAGTGGGGGAGGGAAAGGAAGAATGTAGAAAGGGATGGAAAGCTTAGACTATTTCGGCTGTGTCTCTCCAGAACTGTCAGCACTTCAGAAATGTAGACTGAGGGCAGGATTTCTAGACGTTCCTAATTTAAGGTGAATGAGATCATAGATGGTCCCGTGCCCTATCCTGACTCTGGGCTGCCTCTGCCCCATCCACAGGTGCTGGCGATAGTGGGTACTCACAGCAGGCCTGGCTCTGGCAGTAGGTGGAGGGCACCCACAGGTTGGAGGAGCCAGTGTCAAAGAGGACCAGAAAATTTTGGGGTGGTGTCCCGATGCTGATTTCCCCGAAGTAGTAACTCTGCAAAGACAGGGTTATCACCCTAGTTAGGAAGCCGTGCCTTATCATCAGAATGGGTAAGAAGCTGACCCACCGGAAGCCACGCTTGAGCAAGCCTTTCCCTCGGAGGAATAGGAGGCTACTCCACTAGTTCTCCTTTCCTTTGGGAGACAGCTCCTCTCAGTATTCCCTTTTAGTCCCTAATAGCAGCCTTTGGCCAGCTGACACTTAGTACTCAGTGTGGCAAGACAATATCCTTTTCCAAATGTGTTTTCTACTTTGCAATAAGGTGATACCTCCATGGATTTACTATGCTTGTCAAAGCACACACAATAGGAGACACAATCACTTTTTCTCCTTCCCAGTGTCCATGCCCGCACCTTCACACACACACACACATTCATGCACATTCATCTTCCTTGTCCCCCACTGTTCTAGGCCACCATGGTCCTCCGTCCTGGACACATAGCAGCAAAGGGCGCTACGAAGTCTAGGGTAGAGCGAACATGGAAAACAAGAAGAGAATTCCACTGGGAGATGGTTTAGTTCTAAGTGAACTGGGGCCAGTCATACATATCACATACACCCCTAGTTCCTTTATCTACAAAATGTAGGAGTTGAAATAGGAGATCCTAAGGCGGCTTCCAGCTCTGATGCTCTGGGCACCTTCCCACTAAAGGCAATCCACAGGACACCAATATGTGGAGGTGCCCTGAGCAGACACTGTAGCCTCAAAAGCATTCCAATATTTGCTCTGGGTGCCAGTGTATCTGTGCAAAGGGGGAGATTTACAGTGTCTGCAGCCACTGGAGATTTTGCCTTGCAGCCGTGCATGTGTTTCCCTTCTTTCCCCTGCAGCTCATGCTAGGACTTTATTTGGGTTTCTCAACTGACTTGAACCTTCTTACTATACATCTCTTAACCCTATAAATGGGGCTTGAAGAGATGAGCCAGTAATGAGAGGGGAGGAGGAAGGAAAGGAAACTGCTATTCTAGTAGATGGTGCCTGCTCATAAGTTATTCAGACACTTTCCATAGGGAGGTAGATGGGATTAAAGCAGGGCTATAAGAGGTGTAAATGAGTATCTAAGAAGGGTTACCAGCCTGGGGCTGTGGCCATCACCTCCCCCTTCACTCACATCCAGGTAGTTGGTGATGGGCTCATAAGCAACAGCATCGTTGTTGAAGTGATACTTGGCAGCTGGATCACCCTTTGGGTGGTTCTTGAGGAATGTGTCCAGTACACCCTGTTCATCCATGGCCTCGCGGATAGACTTGCCTTTCCTCAGGATGACTCTGCAGAGAATAGGGTCCACAAAAGGAAAGAGCTTCACTTGCTCCACTAAGGCAAGCCCCTCAATGGTCTGACCTGGAGTTTTCAACCTCTTCAGGACTCTTCTCAACAAGTCTTCTACAGGAAATGCCCCCACATTTTAGCAAGTCTGACCACTGAAGTCATTCCAGTGTGCCCAGCCTGGGAAGACACTACACCACACCACACATTTGGGATTTTTGTGCTTCTATATTGCTTCCAGAAAATAAATATCTTTGTCCTGCCAGTTCCTTCTGTAACGTTGGTGCAGAGACCCTATTTCGTGCCTTCTTAGCCAACAAATCACCCAACCCTCCTTTATACACACACACAGATAATTTTACGTTTCAAGTCTTGGCCCCAGTGGGTTTTCTGTCCATGGCACCAAGAGACAATATGACCGCCTTTCCCAGAGACCTGCAGCAAGCCTTTGCTCTTCCCTAATTATTGTGCTCCTTTAGGACTAGAATTCCTATGCAGCTGAATCCTACACATACCTTTCCAAACCCTCTGAGAGGTGTAGACACACCAAGGCCAAGACCAGGATCTTCATGGTGCTGATCTTCAAGTGCCCACCAACACACAGGATCGGGTGCCAGACACAGGTGTGGAGCACACAGAGGGAGGCTGGGTCTCCCTCTTATACCCTAGTCTCCCTATACTTTGCATCTCTAGGCATGTGGGCTTTTCTACCTTTGTACCAGCTTGTGCCTCTACATATCCATGGATTCTGTTTGTTGTTCCCTCTGGCAGGCATGGGGGACTTTGATATCCAGACTGTGGTCAATTTAAACAGCAATTAATGGCTTTGCTGATGGGATCTAGAGATTAGGATGTGATAATGATGTTAAAATGTGCTGGGGCAAAGGATTCTTGTGCCAGTGTATACTGGGAAATAGGTGCCAGCAACTTCTACCAGAACAATGGAACGATTTGTTCTTTGGCTCTGAAAGGGGAGGTGTTTTTTTGAGACTTATGTGTACTCTCTACTTCTTTTCCCACTCTTCCTATGATCAGTCTCATCTATAGTCTTCTATATATGACTCTCATAGTCTACAATACTCTGCTTTTTATTTTCAGTATCTTAGTTCACGAATTAGCCAACATTTATTGAATGCCCCCACCTACTCATCTCCATAGTTATTTCTGGGAACACAAATATAATTAAGAAATGGTCCTTTTGTGCAAATATCTGCATTCCTGCTGGAATGATTGACATATAAGCAAATTATGAAATTATGAGGTGATGTGGTCACTCTAGCATTCAGATGTGTTGAATGAATGAGGGTGGTGTCACAAGGCAAACAGAAAGATGGAGTGATAGTTTCTGGTGGGATGAAATAGGCTTCACAGAAGAGGTAACATTTTGTTAGGCCGAAGAATAGATATAAGATGGGTGGAGAGTATATAATGCCAGTGAAGTCCACTAAAAGGGACTCAAAGTGTTAACCAATTAAAACTAGAGAGCTAGAGAACAGTTACAAAGTTAATCAGTTAATGAGTTGACGCTACAAAGGCCAGGAGTAACTTGGATATTCAGCAGATAAAGTATGTGAGCACATAGCCAATGTCTTCATTGTGTCAATTAGATTGTGCCACTGTAAAATTTACTTTAGCCTGCTAAAAGGCCCAGCTTATTCTTTAACTTAACCTATATGCTGTTTTTTTCCTTCTCCAGCCCCTAATCAAGTAATTTGCAACCTGGGAAGGAGACAAGCATCATGACTAATTTAGCAAACAAGCGCAGTTATAAACAGCATAGTAAAAACAGGAAAGATTCCACCTTAAAGCTAAGGTTGCATTTTAAAACCCAGGAAGTTAAGATGTAAGATACTTAACATATTCTTTAGCAAACAGACAGTAACTCAGCCTACTTAGGGAAAAGGCAGGCTGTCCTGATGGGTATGTTCCCAGAGGGAAGTGCTCTCCTGGAGAAAAATGGGATCAGTAAATTTCTTGTGTTAATTTTGCAGAATTGCCTGGATGACTGATAGTAGAAGAGAAGAGACTAATATCTCTCAGCAAAGATAAACATCTTGAGACCATTTAAACAAGTCTACACCCCCTAGCCCTTTGTCACATTACTGAAAAATCCTTAAAACAGGGAACCCCCAATCTTTAAGGGTGCCTCCTCTCTGAGGACACCCACACTTTCTCTTTATGTGCATAACTTTAAATAAAACTTTTACTCTGCCTCACTACTGTGTCTCTGCCCTTCAATTCTTTGTTGAAATGGGGACAAAAACCTAGAAAAATTAAAAACTTGAGTGGGGACCTTGTGGGACACTAGATGAGGAGTCAGGGAAGAAAGAAAGCCATTGCAGGCAGAAGAAAGGCTTGAATGATAGCACAAAGGATGAATATTGTGGACAGTGTGGTTAGAAAAGCAATTCCCAGCATGGTTCCTCACCGGCCAAAACTCATCCTAAGACCTGCACAGGATGTACACCATTCTCAGAGTGCTGATTGTAGCCCAGAAATTATTTTCTACCCAAAAAACCATTTGAAATGGAAGGGACTGTAATGCTAAAATAAGAATACTCTTAGTGTAATTTACTGTATTAAAGTCACCATTTATTTATTAAAGCAGTATGTACTCAGAATCTTCAGTATTTAACTACGATTCTATCTGATTATTTATGACATGCCCCATGAAACCGATTACACACACTGGAGAATCTGGGTGGAACTTTGGACTATACAGTACTAGGTATCTACAGGGCAAGACCAGATTGTAAGGCAGACCTCATATACCATGCTAAGGAATATTGACTTTATTCTGTGCGCACTAAGGAGCCATTGTTTTTTAAATTCAGCAAATGACACACTTAATACCTCCTATATGCCATTTACACTCTTTCTTTCAGAGCATAGCCTTCCACAAGCATTTAGTAGAAGAGCCCAGTTACCAAGATGATTCCCCAAGTGAACTTGTAGCTGGCATGAGAGAAGTTACTGGAATTTTGTCATGAATCTGCCCTTGAAGCGTTTGAGCTATATATAAAGGCAAAGAAGTTCCCAATTTCATATGTATGATTCAATGTTCCTTTATAAGATAAATTTTTAAAGGGAAACTTAAGAGCTACAGAAGTTGTGCTTCTAACAGTCGCTCCCACTTATAGATCACCGACTTCGTTTCAGGCACGTATTTCATTTAACCATTGTAACCTTAGGAGGCGAATTTAACTTCCCCATGAGAAACAAGGCTGGGATTTCAAGTCTGGTTTGTCTGAACTCAACCTCTAACAACCTGCTCCTCTAAGCGTGGTGTGCTCAAGCTCTCTTGCTTCAATCTGCATGAAAGTATCACCTAGAAGGATTGTGGGGTAAATGGCAGAATCTCCTGCCTAGTCTTAGCATTTACATATCAATAGGTGTTTTACCACTGCAGAGCGTGGATCTGGGGCAGGGGGTGTAGAAAGGACAGCCTTTCTCTACTTCATTTCTGGCATGTAATTGGTCTGGGATCTGCCAGTCACCAAGGACCCGCCAATGGAGGTCCTACCGGAAGGGGTGGGCAGGAAGTAGAGAACGCGCCTGTCAGCAGAGCTTCAGTGCCCGCTGGAGGTGACGAGTCGGGTCCTGGCCTCCTAGCGAACTGGAGCTATCTGTAAGCAGTAAGAACGGTTTCTCCTAACATACCCTTTCTCTTATTTGGGTTTCCCTGGCTTCATAAGGGATTCACTCTGGCCTGGGAAAACCCTTCCCCAGAGCTACAACGATAAAGACAGATTTACCTTTAATTGTTTGTAGAAAGGAATTCCAGCTGCTTTCCTCATACTCTCCTAGTTTTCTTCCTACCTACATGGAAAAGGGAACGCTGCATGCTACTGTCACCTGGTGAGGATATTACAAAAACAGGCTTTTGACCCTTTGAAAGGAACCAACCCTCTCTGTGACTTCAGAATGCAAATTAGGAAGTGACAAAACTCATAGCATCTTCTCTGAGGCTTGCTTTCCTAGGCTGAGACAACTTGTGCCTGTTCACGAGTCAAGCCTGCTCGGCTTGCGGCTGTCCCTTCGCACCCCGTTGAAATCAGCCAACCAGCACCTTGCCGCAGTTCCTAAGACCTCGCATCGCACGTGTGTGCCTCCGGCCTCTTGTCCATCCCCTAACACTGCATTTGGAAAGTCTGCTTTGCAGCATGATAATAGCACATAAGCTCTCTGAGTGCTTTCTCAGCATCAGATGAAACACTGTAAAGCACACATCAGCCTGAGTTTTCTCAGCTACTTCTGTTGAGTAATTTGTCTTATCTCTCTGGTTCCTTTAAGGTCATGGAGGAGCCTGGTTCCTGAACTATCCCCACTGTGCTCAGCATAGTGTTCTCCAATCACAATAATCAGTCAAAATGATGCACCCGGGAGGGGAAAGTGGGGAGCAGTCACACACAAGACTCTGCCCCCATTGGGGTTGTATGAACACCTTCTCTTCAAGGTACTAGATGTGCTTGGAGACATAGCACTGGCGTCATTCTGTGACAAATGCATTTATTTCAAAGCTCAGTAAATCATGTGAGATATGCACATCCTTATGGGAAATGATCAGAGTCTAAAAGACCACTGTCATGGCCAGTTGTTCATATCACAGTATTCATGAAGAGTTTAAAGAGTTGGGGGGAGGGAGCTCAGCAGGCCTTATTAGAATCTTATGAACTGAAAACTTTCAAATTCCTGGCTCATGGTTATCAGGTCTGACCCAGGGCACCCGGTGGAAAGGGAGCGCAAAGAAGACAAGGAATTAGAAGGAGGTGCTCAGTCCTAGGGGCCCCTGATCTGAGCTTGTAAGTAGGCATTGAGACCTTGCTGCAATGCTTATCTAAGTGTTTGACAACCACCAAGGACTTTGTTTTATGTACTGAAGCCATTTCTGAGGGCTTGTGGACTGAGCCATCTGAGGAAGGTGTAGGGGGAAAAGCCTTTAGTTTGGCCAACAACAGACTATGATCACGAAACCTCGTACCCTCAGATTGGGTATTCCAAGGTAGATTGCAGGAGTTTGTGTGTGATATAATTTTTCAGTTATTAATTCATAACCATCCACACTTATTATAGTACAATTACAAGTACTTAAGTTAATGAAGCACTTAGCAAGCACTCACACTGGGCAGTGCAGGTGAGGTCTGGGTGGGCTGTAACTTCAGTGCTCACTGCTAATCTGGCATCTCTTGTTGTGACCCATCATCCCACATCCAGCGGTTAGCACAAGGTCCTCTCCAAAGGTATAGTGTCCCCTCCAGGAGTCATGGTTTCCCTTCCAAAGATATCAGTGAAATTGGGAGTAGGTGGGGACCATATTGCAGTGAAGAATCGAGGGTGAGTGTCAAAGGAAATAGCAGAAAATTGTCCTTATTTCCCATATAGAGGACCCCAATTAAGGGCAGTTAAATCTAGGAATTTAAGTAAACCACTTCCAGTCATTTCCAGTAAACTCCCAGCTAAAGCCATGGATAAAAAAGTCCCAACTTGAGGGACTTGCTCTAAATTCTGCACCCAGAATTCCTACCTTTCAACTGCTGTTTGTTGCCTCCCAACCACTCAGGGTCCGCAGAGTGGTCGGCACTGAGCTGCACCTGGGAGACAGGCATGGGGCAGAGCTGTGCTCTAGGTGACAGCTTCCGGCACCAAGATTCTAGACACTGGTTTGAGCTCACATCTAATATTCTAGCCGTTCTTCCTGTTAAGGTAGCCTCTATCCTCACCAAGAAATGTCAAAGAAAATTTGTCCTAATCTTCTGCTAACCTTAATGAGTGAATGAGAGTTAAATAATGGTTGTTTATATATCCTCTTTCAAAAACCCTTCATAATAATACGAGGAGTTATATTAGATTTTGTCAACTCCCAAACTCCTTTCTTAGAAATTCACCCTTCTCCTTCCCCAATTGCCTCTAGACTGGCAAAGTTCTATCCCATGTCTGGCCTTAATGATGGCAACATTATCTAGGCCCAGAAAAATTGTGCAGCCTTATTGCATAGATGCAGTGACTGGCACCAGGATTACCACATGAGTCTCATGAGGCTTTCAGGGTCTTTCTAGAGATTCATATAGAGTTATTAGGTGAGACAAGTCTTCTTTCCAATGGGAAGACACGAGTTCAGAGATTCCAGCAGCAATTGTCTTCATCAGATGAAGAAGACTGTCTATGTTAAAACCAGATAAAAGCAAGGAAAAGGGTATGTGGAAGGGGAGAGGCATCTGTGTGTGTGTGTGTGTGTGTGTGTGTGTGTGTGTGTGTGTGTGTGTGTGTGTGTGTGCACGCTTGCATGGGAGCAGACAGTTTATTTTGAGATCTTATCTTAGAGAGTTGGAGGCTGCACTTCCCAAAGAAAAAGCAACATTAGTGGGTAGGTATGACACCTGCTCTGAACATCATTGTCTCCTAGAAGGGGAGGCTAGAAATAGGTCCTATGTCTTTACTAATGTATGAGAGGTAATCTTGCCCAGGAAAACACTCTGTAGGTTGTACTGTATAGTATGTGGGAACTGGTGTTTTGGGAGAAGACCTAGAAGAAGTGCAGACAACACAAAAATATACTCCATTTTGCCTTCGCCTCAACCACTTCTTATGGAGAGATCAAGTAGGGGTGTTTTCTAGAAACAACTAAAATGTTACGCTGAAACTATAACTGAAAGACTCAACCCTCCCTCCTCCTTCCTTCTCTCTTGAGGACTGTGAAAAACTTCTCTGGAAGAGATTCTGACTCTGACCAACAGTGAGGTGAGCTTCTGTTCATGACAGAGAGAAGCACATAATACACACTGGATAACATCAGTTTGCTCTAGACACAAACTCCCTCCTTCCAAAAATAGCAGTAGGATAAGTGACCTCAAAAGGAAGAAGCTGACAATTGGGTTTCACAGGTCATTCCAAGAAAAGAATGTCAGAGAACTCAGATGGGTTCTGTGTTTCCAGTTTATTCAACAGAAAAGAGATTAACTCACTATGGCTTTGGGCCTGTTTTGCCCCATAATGGTTTATGGATGGCTGGGCCCAGGCAGCTTCTGGCAGGTGACCTAGAAGTAAAGACAAGGCCTTTCTCCAGCTTCTGCCACCAACAGCCACACCTCGGGGTCAGTTTCCACCTCAGAAGTCAAATTCTCTCCTCTTTGAGTCTTGGTCTGCCCATCAGGGGTGACTGTCTTCTTTCCAGAGGGGTTAGGCAGCTTTTCAAGAGCTACAGCCTTCCTTCTATGGGACATGATCTTCTCTCCATGGGTCTCAGTCAAAAAATACTGAGAAGTCATAATCTTCTTTCCCAGGGTCACAGACTGATGGCCCACAGGGGTTGTGATATTCTCTCCATGGGTCTCAGTCTTCCTTTCTAGAGCTACGCTATGCTTTCCAAAGGACATGGTGTCCCTTGTAGGGGTCACAATCCCAAATCTAGGGATTGTGGTCATAATCTCAGACTTTCTGTAGGTCTCAGTGGCCATAGCCTCTCCTCCAGAGAGCAAAATCCCCAAATCAGTGGTTAACACCTTGGTCACAGTCAGCCTATCAGAGCCAGCTCTTGACGAATTCATTGCAGACGAGAGCCAAAATTTTGGTGAATTAGTTGAGCTGAACTCTAAAGAAAATCATAGAAAACATGAGACCCCTACCACTCCCTTCCCATCCTATTAATTACTGGCAGGACTAGAATCCCTCCAGGGCTGAAGTACCTGCTCTCAAAATCCAGAACTGGAGGGTTTCATAATGCATCCATTTGAGGACATAGATAAACCCCACCATACAGAAGCCCTGCTGCCCTACCTCATCATGTCATTATGACCCAGAAACCTGGAGGCACTCAGTGGATTTGCTACATTTCTTGTGAGTAATGCCAAGGAGAAGCCTGCCAATTCTCTTTGCTTAAGCCCCCACTTTGACCTCTCTGATTGCATCTTCAGCAAGACCTTGTCCCCAAGGCCTAATTCCTTACTAGCTGAATCCTCAAGGAGAAACCTCCTATGTCCCTGATTATAGGAAGCATCAGGAATAACACTGAGGTGCAAGAAAGCTTCTCTAGACAGCATGTTGTCAAGAACTGGGCTGGAGCCCCATCTCTGAGCCCCAGTTTCCTTATTCATAAAATGAGGGTTATAAACCTTCTCCAAGGAAGTTTCAGCTCTAATATGCCAGATTCCACCTCCTAACTGCCAGGGTAGTCTCTACTACCAAAGAGATATCAAAGGAAACCTAACTTCCTTTATTGGACTTTGTCCCATGAAAGCAGGAGATAGAAACAGAGAAATAAACTAACATATGTTGAGAGTTAACTATGGGCCAGCACAGTTTTAATTCCTTATCTCATTTAGTTCTTATAATTATGTGATGAGTACAAGGATTATTCCCATTTTACAAATAGGGATAACAAAGCTCACAGAGGTCAAATGGAGCATGCATCTAAACCAAGATTAGAAAAGAGACTGGCCTGACATCAAAGCTCACTCTCATCCCTCAATATCATGTGGCCTTACTGGACCGTTAAATCTATGAGAAGGCACACACCCACTGCCTGGTTATACAACTTCCAACCCCAGATCCAGCTCATAGCTACTCACCAGCCTTCACCAGGAGATCATGCAGCACGGAAACAAGGGGGAAGGGGCCAGCACCACAGAAAATGCCCTGACATCAGCCAGGTCCAACATCCACGTCCACACCATGGCTTCCCCAAAATGAACTTTCTTTAAGAACAATGCCTGAAAAGAGTTAGAGTCAGTCAATCTGCTGCACTGATTATCCTCCAGACTGGCTACAAGGACAAAAAACTAAAGATGGACCTCAGAAAACACTAAAGTATTGTGGCTGGGAGTACCTCAGGTATTTGACTCAAACCTCTATCACTTAGTAGCTATATATAGGCTCTTGAAAAGGTTATATAAATCTTGTGTGTCTTAGTTGCCTCATTGCAAAAAAGGAATAATTACATTTCCAACATTTTTAAGATTTGAAGAATTTCTACATGCACATGCTCCAACAGGGATGGAACTTGAAGGCATTATGCTAAGTGAAACAAGCCAGGCAGAGAAGGACAAATACTGTATGACTCCATTCATCTGAGGAACTTAGAGCAGCAAGATTCATAGAGCTGGAAGGTACAGTGGTGATTACCAGGGGCTGAGGGGAGAGGGAAGGGGATTGTTTAATGGGGATGGCAGTTCAGTTTCAGAAATGAAGAAGTTCTGGAGATGGATGGTGGTGATTGTTACACAACCATGTAAACGTATTTAATGCTACTGAATAGACACTTAAAATGTTAAATTTTATGTTATGTATATTTTGCCACAATTTTAAATGATTTTTTAAATTAAAGAACTATTGCAAAATATTTGAATCAACACCTTGAACATATGAGATGTTCATAAATGTTCAATACTGTCTCACTAGGTTTCAGGCTGCTATTCAGGCTGCTAAACCATTATCATCATCCTAAACTAAAGGTATGGCTTTACTATTTAAAAGTCATTTGCACATACCTTATCTCATAGTGATGCTATAAAGAAGAGAGAGAGCAGATAATACTGTACCCTTTTCACAGATAAGAAACTAAAGGCTTTTGTCCATGATTTTTAAAACTTCAGATACAACTAAAGGGAAGGATTTAGACTCAAACCCACATCCTATTACTAGTTTGCCAATGCTTTCTGTCCAGGCTGATGGAAAAGACAAGTAGCTGCATGACTTCACAAAATCACTTGGCCTTTCAGGGATTTAGTTTCCCCAGATGTAAAATAAGAGACAGGAGGAAACCAATTATTGTTAAGTCCAAAACTGCAAATATTCTGAGACTTTATCCCACTTATAAGCTAACAAGTTGGCCTACCAGTTTTATGTGTACACACACACCTCACACCCCCATCATATCTCATGATCAGAGAACACTGTTAATGCTCACAGCAAATAGAACAGTCAGAATAGCACATGGAGGTTGCTACCCGGCCCCAGTTGCCCAAAGGTGACATGGTAAAGGCCAGATATTCACCTGCATGTGCATGGGGTTTGCAGCACAAGAGAACCTCAAAACTATGAGGCTCGAGCTTATATAGAATAGCTGGCATACCTGGCCCTCCTCCCCTATAGAAACATTGAGAGCTTTGCTCTGAATGTCAGCAAGCCTTGTCTGGGGAGCAAACATTCATAATCCTTAAAAGAGTGAAAGCTCTGGAGGAAAAGGGAGAGCAGCTGTCTATTTTTATGACAGCTTGTCTATTTCCTTTGCTCAGAATGCCTGGGCAGTACAGGAACACTGAAAATTCCAGGGATGATTATCTCTGAACAATAATCTCCAAGGTTTCTCTCCATTCTGAGATTCTATGATGAAACTCCTGAATCGCCTTCACAATAGGCCCATGTCACTCTCAGCCTCTGAGAGGCACAGTCACTGCCCCTCAAGAGGAGGCCACTATCCCCTGATGATCCTGAGCTTTCCCACACACAGGGGTCAACCCCCTCTCCTATGTCTTGTGGGTCATACATTTAATTCCATCCAGTGGGGTAATTCCACTGAGTCACTGCTGTTTTTCTGTGCTCCCATTTCCAAACCACAGTCAGAACCTGGAGGCTGAAAGCCAGGCTCTCTCACTCTCCCCACACATTAGGCCTCACCCAGGGCTGTGCACAGGGAGGAGCACAGTGGGCCTTCATAACTGCTTCTCTCTCTCTCTCTCTCTTTTATTTTTTTATTTTTTTATTCAAGTATAGTCAACATACAAAATTATGTTGCTGCTGCCCTATCTCTTGTGCTTTCTATCCCAAACCCCCAAAGAATAGCTCATGCCTGCTTCTTCTATTTTACAGCACCCATAGTGAGTTAGACTGTGGCTTCACTCTAGTAGGCCCTGATAGCCAGGCAGGGGCCAAGTCCTGATGGTTTCTCATTCATAAACTGCCTCTCCTCCCAACCATCCTGATCCAGAACCTCATTATCTCACATTCCCACACCCCTGAGTCTCTCAGAGCATCCAAAAAACCAAACTGCTTATGGCAGGATCACATGCTGTCATGCTGAAGACAGTTTGCAGATTCTTTCTAAGACGTACTGAATATTAGGGGTGGAACAAAGAATCTCTACATTTACCAAGTTTCTTTGGTGATTCCAAAGCAAAGGCAGGTTGGGGAACCACCAGAGCATGTCATTTTGTTGTAAGTCATTAAAAAATACTACCAGATGGCTCTCATGATTATGGGGGTTGGAAAGCTAAGACAGGCAAATACCTGGAGAGACTGGGATTTCAGCCACTTGTGGAAAGCAGGGATCCATATCTGGCTTGTCTGGAACAAAAGAAAGGCAGGCAGTCTGAGAGACTTCCTAACAGTGAGAGGGCTGCTAAAAGTGCAAGGATTGCACAGAGCTTACTGCTCAGGA